CGTTAATTGATGCTGGTGCTGATGTCAACAAGACGGATATTATTAACAGAACTGCTTTGTTTAGTGCAGTGAGACAGGACAATGAAAGTAATGTGCGGGCATTAATTGATGCTGGTGCTGATGTCAACAAGACTGATAAGTATAGCAAAACTGCTTTGTATATTGCTGTCCTACATGACAACAAAAGTATTGTGCAGGCGTTAATTGATTCTGGTGCTGATGTCAACAAGACGTATGATGATGGCGAAACTGCTTTGTTGAGTGCAGTCAGAGAGGGCAATGAAAGTGTTGTACAGGCGCTAATTGATTCTGATGCTGATGTCAACAAGACGTATGATGATGGCGAAACTGCTTTGCGTAGTGCAGTCGGAGAGTGCTATGAAAGTATCGTACGGACGTTAATTGATGCTGGTGCTGATGTCAAGAAGACTGATAATGACGGTCAAACTGCTTTGTTTAGTGCAGTGAGACATGACAATGAAAGTATTGTGCGGGCATTAATTGATGCTGGTGCTGATGTCAACAAGACTGATAATGACGGTCAAACTGCTTTGTTTTGTGTATCAAGCTCTGAAAACAGCATTAGTTTATTGATTGACGCAGGTGCTGATGTCAACCTACCTGACAAGAAAGGCGAAACTCCGTTGTTTGATTTTGTCAGATCTCAGTTGGAATTTCATGTAAAAGCTTTGGTGGTGAAAGGTAAAGCCTTGATAAATGTGAGAAATCACCATGGAAGAACGCCCTTATTTTATGCTCTGCAGCATTCACCAGTGATTGCTCGTTGTCTTCTCGAAAATGGTGGAAATTTGTGCTTGAAAGACAATTGCAATTTAAGCATTTTGTCATTTCTTATCGAAGAGATGTTGCACAATGAAGTTCGTTTTGATCGTTTTCATCTGACTGAGCAATTGAACCTGCTTTATAGAAAAGGTAATACGGAAAAACTTGTAGTAAAAGCACTAATAGAAGTACTATTTTGCAAAATTGTGCCTACGTGTACGCCTTTGGGTGAAGTCACAACTTCCTATTCATATTTTATGCACGAAGGATGTCTTTCTGAGTTCTTATCGATGGCTGATGATCAAACTCAAATGACCATAGAAAACATTTTGGAACAGGTCTCAAGTGAGCAACTGTCACAGGTAGTTCCTTCATTTGTGAATTTAGGTGCTGATCTAAACAGTGTAGACTCGCATGGCAACACTTTACTTCACTATGTAACTCTCCTGCCATTTGTCGGTGTATCTCAAACGGAGGTCATGGAAACATGTCACCTACTATGGAAGTATGGAGCATCAATGAACATCAGAAACCAAGAAGGTCATACACCTCTGTTGTTTTGCTTGTCAGAGCTTAGTTTGCATTCGGAATGGTTACTTAGAACTGATGGGGTAAAGATGCTGGAAGAGGTCTGTAGATGTTTGGTAAACTGTGGAACGAATGTCAACAATACCTTACCAAACGGAAAGTCTGTTTTTCATTTGATTATTGATCTTTTTCAAAAAGGTCTTCGATTGGAAGATGAAGCTGTAAGACAGGAAGTACTAAACGAAATGTGTAATCTGCTGCAACTGTTTTCAGATGCAAATTGTAAACAAGCTGAAAGCTTTAAAAATAGCAGTGGCCATCTTTACTTGCTACTTCATTCATGGGCATCACTCACTTTACCATCTTCAGAAAACTATTCGCGTAACGTTACCCATAACTACACATTTGAAGAACTTTTAAAAGCCATTTTACAGCTACTCCTGAAATGTGGGGCAAAGCCGAATGCCAGAGATGATGATGAAAAAACCCCTCTGCATCACTGCAAGACTTGGAGCGCTGTAAAGCTTTTGATAGATGCTGGAGCAAAAACAGATGATGTCGATTCTTCAGGACACCCAACCCTATTAGCTGCAGCAGAAAGACAAAATTTTCTTGAGAGATCCGACTGTTTTTATCCAGACGTTTTAGAATACCCAAAAGCGTTCTGGAGAACTGCTATCAAAATGAACCTTGATCCATGGACTGTTGACCAACATGAGAACTCTGTTCTAAGTAACATGATAAAATGCAAAGCCTTTGTTCTTGCCAAAGCCTTAATGGAAGTCACTTGTGAGGACAAACACATTGAATCTGATACAATTGCTTATTCACTTTTAAGCACTATTTGCAAGGACCAGTCGACACACACACGTTGGAAAACTAATCTAGTCGAAATTATTTTGAATTCAAGGAAAAGACAGCTAGTGAACTTAGATGTGCCTCTTCGCTATTGCTGCAAGAATATAGTAGAACTTGGTAGCTCAGACGACAGTTCACATGACAGTTTACATCCATCTAAAGGATTAAAAAGAAAATTCGCCGATAATGAGTTCGAAAAGTGTGGCAGCACGCAACCTATGCATAAGAAAATAAAAACAGCGGATGGGAGATGTGAAGAGAAAACAGATGGACAATGTAGTGAAGAGGAAACAGATGGGCAATGTAGTAAAGAGAAAACAGAGAATGCAGAAAACAGCAACGATCTAGTACATTGCGATTCAGTCCACTGCGAGATTGCTGAACTGCTTCTTTCATATGGAGCTGATTGTCGAATTCCTGATTCATCTGGCAAGTCTTGCCTTGACTTAGCGGAGACCTGTCCTGAACTCAAGCAACTCTTAATGCAACCCATAGATATGAATAAAATCTCTAAACGCATTCCTTGGGATTCTGTTTCAGAGAGGTAGAAAAACATGTTGGCCAAAGTTTCAAGAGGACAAGAGAGAGAGATAGTCGGCTCATTTTGGTATCACAAAGTCCACATTGGAAGTGGCGCGAATGGAAATGTTTTCACAGGGATTAATGAGAATGATGGTAGGGAAGTGGCCATCAAACGAATTGAAAAGTTGCGCATGGTACGACCAGAAGACAGGCGTGAAATAACAAACCTTGCTAACCTTGCCGACTGCAAACAAGTCGTTAGTTATGTGACTTTTCTAGAAGACATGCACTTTTCATACATAATATTGGAGCTGATGGAGGGAGATCTCGAACACTACTTCAGCAAAAGTACAGTTGACAAAAGCAAAAGCGTTTTACTTTGCAAAGATATAGTTGAGGGACTAAGATATTTACATGAGCAAAATATAATTCATCGTGACCTCAAGCCTGGAAACATCTTATATAAAASACATCCTASTCTCTGCTTAAAAATTGCTGACTTTGGTCTAAGCCGCTATTGCCGCGTTAATAACACCTCTACTACACTGTACGGCCGTACGATTGTTGGTACCAGATGTTGGATTGCTCCAGAAATTCTAACGTCCCCATCGGCTGGCGAAAATTTTACGAAGAATTCCGACACTTTTTCCTGTGGACTTCTACTGCATTACATCTTGTCGGAACAAAGGCATCCGTTTTCTCCTGAACCTTTAGCACTTCCTCACGTTATAGAAAAAAACATAATAGAGGATAAAATGGAAGGATGGGATGCCCATATCTCTCCTGAAGCAACAGACCTGATCAAAAAGATGCTCAAGAAAAGTGTCGGGGAAAGAATAAGCCCAACTGATGCACTAGCTCATCCGTTGTTCTGGACGAATAGTAAAAAAAAGGATTTCCTCGTTGCTGTCGGGAATCAGCCAGAATTTGAATCATGGCCTTCCAACAGGAATTTTCCTGAGACTGATTTGGAAAGAGACTTGAAGTCGCTCATGGTTTTTCAAACAGTAGCGAAATGTGGTTCGTGGGATGATTCAAGAAATAAACTCATGCCTAAATTTTACGACGAAATGAAAAAAAGGCGGAAGCACGACACTAAATCTGTCGTGGACTTAGTGCGACTTATACGAAATGGCTACTCCCATTACGACTCGTTGTCACATAAAGTCAGGAGAATGCTGTTGACAAACTATGCTTACTTGGATTATTTTCCTGATCTTGTCATGGAAGTCTATAAAGCCGTGACTGTTCGTGGATGGAATTCTAGACCTCAAATCAAAGATGCCATGATCAAGCAAGAACACGCATCGTCACGTGACTTTAATCACCTTTAAGTCACGTGACAAACATCATTTTATTTGATAGCGAAGAGCGTTTTCTACGTCTTCGTAAAACTCGTAACGCTGTAGCTTATATTGATGAAAAAACGACTGACTAAAATTGAAAATGCCGCTCATAGACTTTACTCTGGAAATCATTTAAGGCCAAGAATATTGTGAATCGTGACATGAAGCAGATGACAATTTGTCACACAACTTTGATCAGCTTATAGTCACGTGACAAACAATACCAAACACCAGAGATGACGATTAAATTGAACTCCTATCGTCGTTACTACACTGGTAACGCATTTTTCACAGACAGCTGAGAAAAATTATTACTGGTGCTACTAATAGTCCTTTCTAGCTTGGATTATTCTCCTTGTCATGTTACGGAAATCTTCAAGGCTGTAAATTAATCATGCATGGCAACAATTCAGACCTGAAGTCCTACAATAATGTTGTTATGAATAGGTAAGAAGACACTTGATTAGGCATTGATTAGCTTTAACAATTTATGGCTTAACCTTTGGAGACTATCACAGTGTGGACACAAGAACTGCGACCATTTTTACAAAGTTAGAGAATAAAATGTCGGTAAAAACACAACAATCCAGTTTAAGGCAAAAAAAACTGACCGTGGGATTAAATGATTGTGATTGGCTGAGGTCAATGCCACTCTAATTCTGCTCTCTCCTGATTGGCTACAGTTTACATTCTATATCGTGATTGGCTAACTTTGTAAAAGCGGTCATTTATAGTACCTATAACATATATCAATCTTGGTAGGGTATAGAACTACTTCTTAAAACGTCCTTCGGAGAGATGAATCTGAGACCAAAATTAATTTTATGAAGGAAAGTGATGACGTTTTTGTTTTTTTAATAGTACTTCGCAACCAGTCAAGATCTAAAGTTGCTACCACCCTTGAGTGATGACCTGCGCTTGCGAATTGGTCCAGGTTTCAGATCGACAATAACGGTTTTTATGATTACTTCTTGTATCTAAGAAAAGCATTGTGATATGATGCCAACCATCCTCACAAAAGCTCTTCATCATGTGTTACTTTCTTCACCATCAATATTTAGTTACTTATTGGCAAATAATTGACGACGTCACATGAAGTACTGCTATGTGCATGATTGTATGTATATATGTATATAAACATAACTTTAGTATAACCATTTAAGGATAGGAACAGTTTAGCAACATTTGAAATAACTGGCCAATCTCTACCGGAGAGTCACCACAGGGCCTGTCATTCATAAACCAGACCTTCATTAGTTTGTGCCCAGAAACAAGTCGTAACAATGATGGGGTCGCGAGTGACCAGTAGCACCATGGCCAGAGAAAACTAATGAAGTTAACACCGAGTATAGAAAGTTACTCTCAAATGTCTAGATTGAGCTGTCGTTAACTATTATTAGAAACTAGCCGCCAACAAGTTTATCTCGATGTTCATTTGTATGAGACCTTGCTTTGTGGTGGAAGTGAGTCCAAAACTGGCTCGATTTTCTATCATTTTTGATTTTAGATTTACTTCAAATACAAGTTACAAGGGCGGATCCAGGGGGAGGGTCGGGGGGGTCGCGACCCCCCTGTCATTCCTGAGGTCAAATGGGCTTCCTGTGGTAAAAATGCGACTGGGATTCCTTTGCCCACGAAATTTACCCCTGAGACCCCCCCTTCAAAAAACCCTGGATCCGCCCTTGAGTTACCAACGACAATCAAAATGTATGAAATATTTAAAACTTCGATAACATGGTTAGCTCCAAAATATTTTTAATCACAGCAGTCCCATGAATTTTGCGATGCACCAGCACCGTGTGCGCAAGGCCATGAGTGGTTGTCTAGACAATTGTTTAGCTATGCAGACAACTCTGTGTCTTGAATAGAATTGGAAAAAAATCTTCTCAATCTGGACTGAATATATTCTTATCGAATTAACTCCAAACACTGTCTATCATCATTTAAAAATTGTTTTGATAATCATTTTATTAATTGTGCAAAGCTAAATGCATACTATTATTTAATAAATGTGACAACTTACTTTAGCAGCAGTGAACACGTGACTCATATGACTTCATACTTTAATTTTGATTGACAGGTTATTTCAGAACAAAAGGATTGATTATATTAATCCTATCTATGAATAAAGTTGTAAAAATACACTTTTATGTTCCACTTTATTACAAATGTGCAAGTTTATTACAAATGTGCAAGT